CCCCTCCCCTCTCCCCCCCCGCCGGCACTGATGCTAAGCGCCTGCGGGAGGTCACGTACCGCTGGCACCACCGGGACCGGAGTTTCACCCCCAGCATCACGGTTTGTATCCCCCGGCTCTCTGCTTCACACCTGAGGTGCGGGTAAGGAGCAACCTGCGTTTTCTGTTGGACCCAGGGCGCACGAAGCGCCTTTCCTTTTAAGACCATTTTTGTTAAAATAGGCCCCCAGATTGCTTCAAGTTTGTTGCAACCTCCTCCACCCAAAAAAATCCACAAAAAACAAACCCAAAAACTCTTAGTTCCTCATTCCATTTTTATGTCTCACTTATAGTAGGACTACTATGATTAAAGGCAGCGTTGTTTCAATATTATCCAAATTACTTTATTCAGAAATGAAACTTTCTTTTTTGGTCAGCTTTAATTTTTCCTTGTCACGCTGGAAATTGTTCTTGAGGACCAGCAAAAGAAATAGATCCTCTAGTTGGGAGTCCACGTTTAAGCAGAGGTGAAATGAAATATTTTGCTTTCGTTCCACAAGATAAGAGAATTGGCCAAGGTAAACACCCTCCTGCATGGAAAGCAAGTGAAATTACACAAAAATGAAAAAAAAAAAAAACTAAAAATAAGTATGGTTTTGAGGAACACAGGTTTTAGTGGGACTGACTTGAAAAAATACCATCTACAGAGTTAATTTTATGTCCATGGAGAATTGTTTGATAAGCTCGACCACAGCAGTTTTAGAAAATTTATTAAATCATACTTAGCAGTCATACTTACTGACAGCAGAGTTGCGGCAGAATGCTTCCTTCAAGTTTTAAAAGTAGATTTTCATTGCTTCACTGTTAGTCTCAAGAAGTTAAAACATTTTCAGCATTGCTGATCCCTTTTTGGAAATACATAGTGGAAAAATTACTTATGTCAGTACCCATGCTGTTCTAAATATAACAGAGGTCTGTTAATAGCATTAATAGCACAAGTGTAGTAAAGGTGTTTTTAACATAAAAGCATTGTCATAAAGTAATTCACTTTGTACACCGGTGAGGCTAGGCTGACTAGCAAATTTACTGCATCTTTTCCAATCTGCAGCAGCTGGAGATGGCAGCCCTGCTAGCACAATTAGTTTTCAAGAGATTTGTTAGAGTTCAGTGTCAAATTCTCTTTGAGTATAAGCAAGATTTGACTGTTTAACTCCTCAGAGTTTGAAAATCAGAGCTGTTAGCTATGCCCAGCTAAATGCACCATCACCTATGTTCCCTTCCAGTATGCTATTTGCATTTGAATTCTTTGTATTTTTTAAGAGATTCACAAATTGCGTAGTCACAGGAATCATTAGGCTAGAGAACTGCAGGTTTGTTGGGTGGTACTTTCAACTTGGAGACGAAGAAGGCAAAAAGAAATAATATATTTTTGTTCAGATTCCTTTATTGAGATCTTTTAGACACTAACTTAAAAGTAGTATATCTCGTGCTTGTAGCACCTAAGAGTCTTAATCACAGGCCAGGATCTCCTTGGGCTGCAAAATGTACAGGCACTGGACGAAAAAATGGCATCCTCTCCTCCACTCCCCCTTGTTCTGTAATACTTCAAGAAATCACTGGTGCACTAGAGTATTAGCAGAGAATACAAAAAGAAAAAAGGTACAAAGGGGTTATGACCATATACTAAGATTTTTTCCTAGGCCTTATACCAGGCTCTCACTTAGAGTTTTCCTAAGCATAGCCCCACATGACATAGCCATGCTTTTTGAAGTGAGATTCCCAGAATTTAATTATGAAATCTATGTTTTAATTCTTAATAACTGGCCTGACTTTTTAAGGCATCTTAATGAAAATCAACCCATCTTGCATTCATTTGATGATTCATTGTTGACTTTATTGCCGTAATCCCAAGGAATTCCATTCAAGGGCCAAGATCCCAAAGCAGAGGTCTGTGTACAAACCTAGAGCAAAAAGTAAGTCTTACTCCAAAGGGATAAGATTCTAAATAAGATGAGAGAACAGATGAATACAGAGAGAGCCAAGCAGATGAAACGTCAAGGAAATAAGAATGCCAAACTCTGGCTATAACATGTTGGCCCATTATCTTTAAAGAGAGCTCAAATGAATCAAAATCTGTCTCGTTCAGTACTGCAATTAGAAATCACCAAGGTAATCGTGTTTGACAGGGTATGATTTTGTACTCATTACTTAAGGACAGTCTTTGACACCTGACCACCTGAACTGTGTCAGTAAATCTTTGCAGAAGTATGTGGCCCAAATTCACATTTGTGCACGCAAAACAAGTAGTTGCACATATAAATTCCTTTACGCCTTCTCCTTGATTTCATAAGAATAATTTGCAAGTGGACAAGAAAGTCCAAGCCCAAGTTTCAAGTGGACAACAACAACAACAAAAAAAAAGATTATTAGGGATCGTGATAATGTTCAGCAATGTATTGATTTATTCTGGATGATCATGATGTCCCAAGAAAAAGGGTTTCCATGATAAAGTTAAATTCTGTAACTCAGCAAAAGCAACTTACTTGCTTCCCTTCAAATGAACCCAGTCAAATGGTTGCTGGGAGCAGCAGAGCAGAAAGGCATAAAACAAGTTCAGCAAGTTAAACTATCAGGTGTTTCACATTCTCCTTCAAGACAGTCCTATCACTAAACCCATAGTGATTAAGAACTGAGGCACATTCCACTTGTCTATTGACTTCCACATTTTTAACCTGCAGGCGCTGGAGCATGTCAATGCCCGTCTTCTTGAGCTGTACCCTGATGATGAAGAACGATTTGATATTGTTCTGATGACTAATAACCATGCCCAAGTGGGAGTAAGACTCATAAACAGCATCAATCACTATGGTAAGTAAAATAAATAGTACCATGTAGAATTGCCTGTTGTTACATAATAAAATGAATTAATTTTATTTTTCCTGTTCTGACCTTGGTACAAGCCGCTTCTTTGATACTGACACCCATTCCTCAGAGGATGATATTTATTTTGGGTGTCGGCATAAGTGAGATAGTGTTAAACAGAATTTGGTCCAAAGCGCTAGATTTAACTTGTCAGGTGTGAATCTTAATTTCTGAGAAGTCCTTAAACTTTTCGTTGTTTGGTATTTACGCCCCCTATACATGTTCCTTCACAGCAGTTATTCTGCTGTCTTAGCGGGATTTTTTTTTAAATTCTCAGCGAGGAAGGGCTGATCAAACGTTGTAGTCAGTTTAAGTCGTCTAACTTGTTGAAATTATGGTAAACATACTTTTCTTTTTTAAGTTTACTGTCAGCTGTAGGCTACTGTACCTTTTTATGGGTTCCGTTTACATGTTTGTGGTGCCAAGGCAGAGTCACACCTTGTGCTGTTCTTACTTTAGGCTTAACAATTGAACGCTTCTGTATGACGGGAGGAAAAAGCCCTATTGGTTACCTGACTGCGTACCTTACGAACTTGTACCTCTCAGCAGACTCGGAAAAAGTGCAAGAAGCTATAGAAGCAGGTTTGAATTTACTTTCTTTTGTTATCTCTCCGTTGAGCTTGTTAAAAAATGTATATATTGTGTGTCTTCCACAGAAAGTAGTGCTGCTTCATCAAATGCAGAAAGTCACAGCTTTGTATGGTGAAAACTTATCACTTATTTTTAAGTAATCAAATAAAATCAGGTTATTTCTCTGTATTGTTCCTCTCTGACCCTTCAGCCTGCTGATAATGACAACTTAATCATCCTCTACCTTTGCCACACCTTTCTGTCTTCTCCCATGCTACAAGAAATGAACTCCCATACACACCTACGCATCTCTATTCAACTTCTGTTTGAAGAGTCTTTGATACGTCTTACAAAAAACAACTTTTGTATTGGAACTGAACTGCTGACAGTTTAATGAATGACTTTGCAGGACATGCTAACTGAGGTTCTTTGATCCATTTTCAGGCATCGCATCAGCTACGATGTTCACTGCCAACAAAGATGTTGCTTACTCGGATACACAGTTGAGGGTGGCATTCGATGGGGATGCAGTTCTCTTTTCTGATGAATCAGAACAGATTGTAAAAGAGCAAGGATTAGACAGATTTTTTGAACATGAACAGCTGAATGAAAACAAGCCTCTTGCACAGGTTTGTATTTCTTTGAATCAGTGAGTTTTCAAAACGCCTGTTAATTTTCACTGCTGCTGTATTTCTCCAGTTTCCCCAGCGTGTATGTATTCTTTGTGAAAGCTGATTGCCCTATTTATTTCCTTTTCCAAGGATAATATTTAAAATGCATGTTTGACATAAAAGAGCCCACCACTGCAGTCCTTTCACCAGGATCTTCCACTTCACCGAGAGAACTACATATATAAGACAGTGACTTACAGTTGTATTTTAATTGTATCATTAGAAAAAGGAAAGGCTACTAATGATTTCCTTGATTATTTTTTTTATCAGGTTGTGTAGGTAATGTTAATTTCAAACACTAGGATATTCTGGTTATTGAAACAGGGTAATATATGTGCTTATTCCCAAGCAGAACTATGCCATTTGTCTAAAAAACACAAATATTTTAACATTAGCTTAAAGACCAATTCTGCTACTGTTAAAAATGGTATAAATTCAGAACAAAAGCTTGATTTTTGAAAGTACGGGACAGTGCAATACATTGCAATTTGACCCAAACTATCATTTACTTCTTTTAATCGGAGTGTAATTCTAATATTGTCATTAATCTGGAAAGAGTTCAGTGATGTCTATGTAATTAGGTCTCTTACTGTTTTTTGCACAGAAAAAAAAATTGCACCTCGTGGTTCATAGTAAAAAGAGTTAAGTGTTTTTAAAGAATATTTTATTAAAGACCATAGTTATAACTTTATATTGTAGGAGATCTTGTAAGCCTTAGTGAGAATCAGTTTTCTGCTGATCATACCATGTAGGATTGTGGTTTTAATTTTTTTCCAATTTGTGAATTCCTAGTGAGGCTGCAGACCCATTTGGACACATTACATAGAGAATTTGCTGAGTAGCATTAGGGAAGGAATCCTGTATGTAACTTGCAACCTGGAATAAAGCAGAAGAATGATTTTGGGATCTGTGGACAAACACTAAATATGCTTCTGGTATTTCATATTCAGGGTCCTTTGAAAGGTTTTCTGGAAGACCTAGGGAAACTCCAGAAGAAGTTCTATGCAAAAAATGAACGATTAAATTGTCCCATAAGGACCTTCCTGGTCACAGCCAGAAGTGCGGCGAGCTCTGGAGCCAGAGTGCTGAAGACTCTTCGTAGCTGGGGTCTGGAGATTGATGAGGCACTTTTCCTAGCAGGAGCTCCTAAAGGACCGATCCTGGTGAAAATCCGCCCTCACATTTTCTTTGACGACCAGATGTTTCACATCGAAGGAGCACAGAAATTAGGCACCATAGCTGCGCATGTTCCCTATGGCATTGCTCAAAAATACCACAAATCTGCATGACTGGATAGCACTGTTAACGATAAGGTTCTTAACTCAGCCAGCCTCTAATACACCAATAGTTATGTCTGAAAACCTCTACGTTTGTGTATTGTAAGCACTATGTTTAAAGATTTAACTTCTGGCTAGAACAGCCTTTAAAGGAAATATTTTTAATATAGGTAAATTTTTAACAGAGTTATTTTAATAGCATTCTTAAGCACTTTAGGTTTTTTACCCATCTGGATCTAGCACTCTGTCTTTGATATTAGGAAAAGATTTGTACTGCTTTTATAGCTTGAGATATATTTTGAGAGACAGAGAGAACAGTTATATTTTCTCTAAAAAACTATTGACGGGTTATTTATAGCAAAAATCATGCTGCAATGCTAGTCCTTGATGGTTGTTTCTGAAATTACCAAAAGCACAGTTTACATATAAGTGTTTACCTGTTGGTGGTTTGCTTGTTAAATATGTGTTCAGTAGGTTTGTTATCACAAGGTTTCATCTTCTAGTGAAATGTTAGCTTATTTGATCTTGTGTTTACAGGAACCCTTCATTTTTCTATATTATTTTCCCATTCTAATAAAGCTGGCTTTGCAGAACGTCATTGTCATTTTTCTGTGTAGAGGTTTTAACATAATTTCCTATACAAACAGAGTTTATGTGATCAGTGTCTGTGTATCTCTTGCCTCCTTTGGATATTTAGAACCAGAAGTGACCACCTTCAGCCAAATTTGAGAGGGAGCTAGAAGTCTCAAAGACACTTAAGTTCCAACAGATTTCGTAGAGCTGGGCAGAAGTCAGAGATGCTGTATCTTGACTGGGACAAAGACTGAAGCTTTAGAGAATCCCTTTGTAATGGCAGAGAATCTACTCTAAATAATGCTGTTGATGGAACTCCTTGTTTCTTGACTAGATGCACTTAGGATTTACAGCTGTTCTGTGATCTGTGTGAACTCAGTTTGGCAACGGCACATGAGTTTCCAGGGGACAGGTGCCTGTTGCAGGATGAATTCATGTAAATTTACGCTGGAGCTCTATTCCACCTCTTTTATGCTAAGTTCCTGTATCTCGGTGTCATCCATGTATCTGAGTGCCTTCCAAATGACACAACTAACATCTGTCAGGTGGTGTTTGTTCTCTTTCTCTCCCTAGTGGATCTAGTGTCCTGTTTTATTTTTATTGTTGCTGTGTATTTATACCAGAAGAGACAAAACCAAAAGAATGTGCTTTGCAGTGGGAGTAGAAGTTGGTGAAGGCTTGTGATGATCTGTGGTTCCTGGGGGAATTCGCTCCAGAATCTCACGTTAGCCTCTGAGAAAGTTTGGTCTCTTCTGTCTGGATGAACTGCCCTGTTATTGCAGAAAGCTTCACTGCATTAATTGTGGTTTCCCTCCCAGAAACATAGGCAATCTTTTAAATGTTCTCGGTCCAAGCCACAAAGTTCTTTGAAAACAAAGGAGAAAGCCTTGATCCTTCATGAAACACGAATAGAGACCATTAGAAAGGTTTTTATGTGTTCACACCAGCATGTGTTGTTGATGGGATGCACTGCAGAGTTCTGGTGTACTTGGAATTTCATAAGTGCTAAAGGCTTTGTGCCCAAAACATATCACATTTCCCAGCCCTGCCAGGAGGTGAGGAAGACATGAATAACTGGGGCCTGGTCATTGTCTACCAGGATGGGATAGAGTTACCTTGCCAAATGGAGATTATAAAAGATGTTATTAGCAGATGTTTTTATGTGAGAGCTCAGAATCGGCAAGGAATCCAAAAATATTCCTTAGCTGTGGAATACAAATTGCATGTGTACCTTCACCACAAAAGCATGGCTGCAAATTTCAGGAACACCGCTCCTGCCTTGTTGGAACAGAACACAATCAGCCATTCTTCATCCATGTGCTATTAGAGCTAGAGATGTTGGGTGCAGTAAAACATGAGGGATATATGCTGTGCAAAGATTGCTGGCACTTGACTCTCATTGAACATAGCAATTCAGGCTTGATACTGAAAAGGCTGATGGGATCCTTGATCCCTGTGGGACTCCGAAGGTGAGTGTCTCATCCCTGACAGGGTAAGCATGTAAATTAGTGAATAAATTGGAAACCGAATCATCTGGTCTATTATGTTTATTTCCAATCAACCATACACCTACAGCAAAAATGAAACCTACTGGCCAGGATACAGTTAGGAGCTTCCAGTTCTTACATCTTTTTTGATCTGTACACACATAGTACTAGAGGACTACCTCTTGTAGTGTCATTCTTGACAGCACTAAGGCATGTGTGAAGAGAAATAAAGAGTTCACATATCGAATTCACATAGTAGAATTGACATCCTTAGTCACAGAATTCAAATTGACATTAAAGTCCAGAAGTTGATGTTAAGGTCCACAATCACTTCTCCTAAGTTAGTTGAGCAAAATGCCCTTAGGTGTTTGTTCAGATTATACACTGCCTTTTAATCGTCAGGCAACTGTCCCAGGCTTGACGGCCGCTTCTCTGCATATCCAGCTGGCAGCATGCTGGGTGAGTGGAGCCTCATTTGTTCATGCAAGGGCCTTCCAGACTAATCTGGATGTTTGGGGAGACTTGGCTTGCCAAGCAGTCTCTGCCCATTACAATTATTGTCTTCTGCTCCAAGGCACAGCTTGGCTAGTGGACCAAAATAATAATTTTCAAGAAAATTCTCTGAAATGGGATGGGAGCTGAGGGAAAGGGTTTTCTATTTTTGTCGACATAGACCAGAATTGTCTCTTAATAGCATTCCAGTTCACAAAACAAACAAACAAACAAAAAAACAGACAAAACCCCTTGCTTCTCATGCTTATGAGGATACCATGAATTTATGCCCTAGCACCTCATAATCCTAAGCCAGTCACAGTTACAACAACATATAACATTTTTCAATAGGGGAAATAGAGTAGAGTCCTATGGTTCTGGACTGTGCTGTCTATCAGCCTGCTTATAACACTGGAAGACAGACTCATGAAAAAGAAACTGTCATCCCAGCCAAAACCTGGAAGAGGATTAATGATAACACAGATCGAGTTCTGTGTGGAAGCAGAACTTTGTCAGGCAAAGCCAGTCCTTGTTCCCTTAGGTTCCAGGTTCAGGCACTGCATCACAGTGGAGAGTCCAGGTAAGACAAATGGGAATGTCTCCTGCTGCTACCAATCCCCATGGACAAAAATGTTAGAAATAAGATCCTGAAGGTGACTTGACTATTTTTTATTTTATTTTTTTACAGACCATATCCTCGGAGTGTGTTGGCTACTTCCCACCAGCTACCAAGACATAATAAACCCATGTTCCCCAGTTCCTTCACACCTCCAAGACATCCTTTCAGTTTCTAGGCTAGCATGTCATGCATAGTGAAACAACCATTTGGAAGAAACAAATATTTCAGATGAAGATTTGGAGATGGTCATCATAGCATGTGTTCCAACATGTGTCCTCCTGTGTTCCTGGACTGTGATCTGTTCTAAGGACACAGGAATCAGAGGGCTCCTACATCCTGAGGAGGATCCTCAGGTACCCCCCTTGGGCTCCTCTGCCAGATCCTGTAACCTGGCATGCAGTATTGCTCAGCAGAACACACCCATCTCCTCGAGTGCAACAGATGGGTAGAGAAAGCAGTGAAGCAGGTCAACGTCTTAGGAGAAAAAATAACTTTGAGTTACCCTGCTCAGTAGTATCCGGAACCAACAACATCTGAATGCATATGTCATAGAATCATAGAATCATAGAATCATAGAATCGTCAAGGTTGGAAAAGACCCTTAAGATCATCGAGTCCAACCGTTAACCTAGCACTGCCAAGTCCATCACTAAACCATGTCCTCGAGCACCACGTCTACACGTCTTTTAAATACCTCCAGGGATGGAGAGTCAACCACTTCCCTGGGCAGCCTGTTCCAATGCCTGACTACCCTTTCGGTGAAGAAATTTTTCCTAAAATCCTAAGTCATCCCTACCTAGATGAGCAGCTGCTGATCGCTATCACCTGTGAGCTCCTGTGCACAACGCTCCGTGCACTGAAGGCTGGATTGACCACTGATGGACCCAGCAGGATCCTTGAGGCTGCACCCTCTCCAACACATTCACTGTCTTTTGAAGTAGTAGGTGTATCAGAGATGACTGCCAGAGTCCCCACTGCCAGATGCTGAATCTTTACAGGATGAATCTTTTACTCTAACAGGGCATTTCCTGGTTCCCTTATTTTGGCATCTCGTTGGTAATCACTGTCCCTTTCTCATGGTCCTTGGCTGCAAGGTCATGAGGCAGCAGAGCTGGGCATGGCTCCAACACCTCCCAAAGACAGGATTTACTATGAGCAGAGCATATGGAAGAACACCTCAAACTGGTTATGGCTCTTACACCAGGTTAAGGATGCCAAAAGCCATCTCTGTCACAAGCAGATGCAATGGTGTGGCCTGGTGTCCTGGTTACGGCTGAGACAGTTAATTTTCTTTCTAGTAGCTGGTATAGTGCTGTGTTTTGGATTTAGGATGAGAATAATGTTGATAACACACTGATGTTTTAGTTGTTGCCAAGTAGTGCTTACACTAGTCAAGGACTTTTTCAGCTTCCCATGCTCTGGCCGGTGCACAAGAAGCTGGGAGGGGGCACAGCTAGGACAGCTGACCCAGACTGGCCAAAGGGCTATTCCATACCATATGACATCATGCTCAGTATATAAACTGGGGGGAGTTGGTCAAGGGGAGTGATCGCTGCTTGGGGATGAGCTGGGCGTCGGTTGGCGGGTGGTGAGCGGTTGCAGCACCTGTTTTTCCTGGGTTTTTGTTCTATTATATTTCAATTATTAAACTGTTCTTATCTTGACCCATGAGTTTTCTCACTTTTACCTTTCCGATTCTCTCCCCCATCCACCAGAAAGGGAGGGTGAGCGAGCAGCTGTATGGTGTTTAGCTGCCTGCTGGGTTAAACCATGACAGCTGGTTAAAATACCCTTTGGTGTAGCTATGAGTCTCACAATGGAGTGAAGAGCCAAGAATGAAGAGAGAAAGAGTTTTCTGTGGTGAGACAGAAGAGGTCTCTCAGTAAATCCAGTGTGTTTAGATGTGGTACCTATACAGCCCTTAAACTGCCTGAGAAGTGTGACAGTCAGAGGAGAGATGGTAAGGATACTTCCAGAAAAATCTGATACATTTCTTCAGCTATAACAGGAGCTGAAGTCAGCCTCAGAACAGACTGCAGCAATGTGAACAGACTGTGGGTAGCATCAACATGTGACAGTTAAGGGGAGGTTACTATTGCAAATGGTTATCATGTCCAGATGAGTCACAAGAAACCTGACGAAAGGGTTTGGGTTTCCTCTTGCGTTTCTTACTCATTTCCCCAAATGTCCTAGGTCTTGACTCAAGACAGACATGCTCATTATCAGCCAAGCT